TTAAGATTAAGCGGCTTGCTCGAGATCCTAAAAGATTCATTTGGGCTGTGAGTATAGCACAATCACGATGCATAAACATGCAAACAAGGATCGGAGCTTTAGTACAAGATGCAAATATGCTAATTCCTTATGCTGGTAAACTTCTGGACAACAAACATAAAGTCGTGTTTATATATCATGTTTTGCAATTGCTCTTTTTTTGGATAAGAATCAACATTACAGAACTGTTGGCAACATTTTCATTAGAATTAAAGGCTGAGATACCTCAAAATGCATCACGGGATTAGTATATGTCACATACCTTTTGGCGTCCTTCGAGTATATTACATTAATTGTGTATTTTTCTTAACTATATTATGCAGATATGCTGAATCATTCTTTCCGACCAAATTGTTTTTTCCACTGGCGTTTTAAGGATCGGATGCTTGAGGTGATGATAAATGCTGGGCAGCAGATCAAAAAAGGGCAAGAGGTTTCTCATTGTCTTATTATATTCAAATTTAGCAATGCACCTGCATAACTCAATCTTATATGAAAGCATGTTGGTTGCATCATTGCAAAAAGTTTTCAAGCACTCAAAAGTGTGTAAGAGCCCAAACGCGTCTATTATTATGGAGAGGTATCTACACCATTTTCTAAGGAATGTTCGATCCCCTCTCCAACGGAGGTGGGATCTTACAATAAAAATTTATGGAAGAATCATCAACTGGTCCCGGCGAGGCTCAAACTCGCAACCTCCGACTCATAAGACCAGCGCTCTAACCAACTAAGCTACGGGACCTGTTGATCCTTTCAGGAATTTTTATTGAGAGGAGTTCGAAACATTTCTTATACGGGTGTGGAAATCTCTCCATAATAGACACGTTTTAAAACCATGAGTCTAACGACACAATATAATGAGCTAAAACGGACAATATCTATTAGCCGCAAAGTGCCAAATTTAGTTCTTCTTGCAGACACCAAATTAGTCTGAAATTGTTGCATAATCTTGGCCAACTTTCCACAGCCAAGGAACAGCAAAGAAAAAAAAGAAAAAGAAGATGGTAGATGGTTTTATTTTTCGTCCTACAGTAAATACTAACTGGGGGAATGAGGGTGATATGAGAATTTTTCTTTTGGCCTTTGTCTTAGATGTTTATGCTTTTGTGAGCAAGAGATCAAATTTACATTGTATATTTTCTTGAAGTATCAAATTTTATTTGCAGATGACAGTCAATTACATGAATGGCCAAACGAACGACATGTTTCTGCAGAGATATGGTTTTTCATCTCCTGTGGTAATTTGATCTCCACCACAACTTTCCAAATATATTTGACTTAATGATGGGATTTATTTCATGTAAACATCTAACATGAGGAACTGCAGAACCCTTGGGATATGATCGAGTTCTCCGGGAATGCGTGTATTCACTTAGATTCGTTCTTATCAGTTTTCAACATAGCTGGGCTTCCTGATGGTTATTACTACAATGGTATTGTTAATCAAAACTTTCTTTTGTTTACCTCTTTTGTTTACAAAGTGCTGAACAAACTGACCAAATGACGATCGCAGGTCGGTTATCGAACGAGGAAGATACATTCGTTGACGGAGCAGTAATCGCAGCAGCAAGATCTCTGCCTTCATGGTCAGATGGAGATATCCCACCTAGCCCAAGCAGGGAGAGGAAAGCAGTCAAAGAGTTACAAGAAGAGTGCCAACGGATGCTCGCAGCATTCCCGACCACATCAGAACAAGACCAAAAAATCCTAGGTACGCCATGCAGTCCCAAAGTTAAATGCAAACCACTAAAAAAACCCTCAAGATCTTCTTGTATTTGAAGATATTAATTCCTTATTACGTTGCTGTTTGAAACAACCAACAGATTCTATGCCACAAGCTACAAGAACGCTAGAAGCCTCAATCAAGTACGCATTAACTTCTTGTATCTAAAGCTAATTTGATGATATCATTAATGGAGTTTCATCAAGTTCCCATTTGTTTTCATGGCTGCAGATACAGATTGCACCGAAAGTTGTTCATGGAGAAAGTGATCAAGGCATTGGATGTCTATCAAGAACGGATACTGTTCTAGTTCTGAAAATTTTGTACTGCAATTTGAGCTTAGCAGGTATTATTGGTAGCTGCATGAAATTGTGTTTCAGTCCCTGTAAAGATGTTGGTGTAATTCAGTTATTAGTCATTATTAATTGTAGCATTAATGGGAAAAACTTGATAATCTTAACCCACATATTATTTTATATTTCTTATCCATTTCTTTGTAATCTAATTCTGCAAATAAACATATTATCAAATTAAATTTTACCTTTTGCAAGATTCACCTACTATATTTTTAAAGTAAAAACTTTTTAAAACTAACTAATTTAAATAAAAATTAGTTTGAAGGTAAAATTCATGACATTTAATTAAATTTAAAGTAAATTTTGGAGTAAAAATAAATAAATGCGTAAATAATGATATTTTTCCTAAATATTAGTCATCGTCAAACTGGACTTCAAACTGTGAATGTTGGTTCGGTTTTCGATTTAGGCAAAATTCAAGAAAACCAAACCCAACCAAACCCAACCCAACCAAACCAAACCAAACCAAACCAAGGTTTACTCATGGAGAGGGGTTTTAAGATAAAACGACTCTGTACTCCGCTGATGATCTCTGGACGCTCTCCACCCTTGGCGGCGGCGGCGGCGATTACCTCCCCAACCAATCAAGCTTGCAAATTTTGCACTTCCTGACTCTCTGCGACTGGTATGTTGATTTTTTCCATGATTTTGTATATTTTATTTGCTATATTTCTATTTATATTGTGTTAAGAAATGGGAAAGGAAAGAAGTGTAGACTCCATCTTTCTCTCCCTTTTTTGTGTTTCCGTCGCCGATCGATGATCCCCGCACACTCCACCGCCACTTTTTATCCTCTTATTGTCTCACTTTTGCTGCAACCTCACGCCACCACGCGAACCTCGTCTTCTGCTACAGCCCTCCATCAATCGGTCAATTGCATTCGATCTGAAATAGGGTCCGTATAGTCTAACCTAGGGTACGAGGTTTAAATGACAAACTTGGGTTTTGGCATTGTGATGTGGATAATGCTCAACGAACTTCGCTTCTTGACTAAGCTGTGAACTTGTGAAAACATGCTGAGACATCTAAGTTATGTTCTCGTTATTGAGATAATTATCGCATGTCAGTTCTAATTCTAATTTCTAGGATTCTTTCTAGTGAGAACTGATATATGAGGATGAGACAACCATTTTCAGTGCTCTGCAAATTCTTATTGATAATAGGATCACCATTTTTGTTCTATTCCCGTGAACTTTTTATTTGTACGAAACTATTAATTAGCATACTGCGTGGTGTAGAGCAATTGCAAATGACCCGTTTCGACAGGGATGCACTGTCAAGCAACGTGAAGTGTTTGGTTTATGAGCCTTAGAACTTCATTGTCATGTCCGATATTTTGTATGATTCTTCATTGATTTTCCTTACTCAGTATTTCTTTGGAACTTGGAATTAGAGATTGAGAACCAATAACATTTCATATTACTGGACACTTCATACCCCCAAGAAAGTATTGATAACGCAAGTGAAACTTTCTATTTGAAGGTTGGACAAAAGGCTCATTTACATTCTTTGTAAACATTATCTAGTGAGAATTTTCAGTAGGTTTGGTGTTGGATAGTTCTAATTCACCAGTTGAAGCTTCTAATGCTTTAAACATGTTTTTGCATTATTTTTTTAAAAATTAAAATCCTGTAAGTGTTCCCTTGGTGATGTACGTAGGGAAAACTTGAAGAGAGGATGGCTACTAATAGCCTGAAGGGTATGATTGCTGCAGCAGTCAATAAGGGAGTGACAGAAGCAAGGGCAAGGATATTTGGTCACGTACTTAACCCGACAGGTCAACGATCTACCCACAAGCTTCTGCGCAAAAAACTCATCGGTGACAAAGTAGCTGAGTGGTATCCATATGACATCAAGAAGGATGATCCTCTTATCATGGCTCGTCAAGAACAAGAGTACACTCTCTTACTATTTATGACTCTGCCATGATCTAGACATATCATTTGAACACATTTTTTGTGCATAAGATGTAGATTTTCTCCATCAATATATTGGGTGATATTAAGGTAAGGAGTGATTTGTAGGAAGGCCATATGTGTTTAGCTTGGAAAATGGGGGGATGGGGGCTTGTGCAGGAGTGCTCCTGCATCTCTTAAAATTATAAAATTTGGGAAGTGGGAGCTTTAGGTATATACATACTAGTGAATTTTCTGATTAGTGAAACGGGGTTTCCATCGGTGCATTTTTAAACAAATTTGGGGGTGTGGATTTCAACTTCCAAGCTCAAGGGAAAGAAGTGCCTCAACTGCTGAACTATGCTCATGTCTTTTGGAAATTGAATATCAGGATCTTAATGTTATTTGGAGAGTCATTCAGTGACTTAGTTTCAAATGTTTCTAGAGAGATTTTACCTTCTTAAACGAGGGCAACAACTAATTTGGGTTCTAGCTGCATACCAATTAACAGAGCCCTTAAACGTCGCAAATTGGGGGGGTGGTTGGAATTCTAGTGTACTATGGTAGCACAGAAAATTTTCCATTCATTGCTTGCCATAATAGTAGAATTTACGAATAATGTAGGTTCCATGAAATAAATTAATATATCGTCTCAAATTAATATATCGGGTAGAACAGAAATTTTTCCCAACAGATTTGTCTCAATATTCTGATCATCTGCAATCTACTTTGCCAGGCGCTTGTCGAAGCTTGAAATGCTGAAGCGGCGTGGTAAGGGACCACCTAAGAAGGGTCAAGGCAGGCGTGCAGCCAAGCGCAACAAGTAGAGACAATGACAGTGGAATTGTTGCTGCTAGGGCTTTATCTTTTTGTTGTTTTTTCCTGCCTAAAGTTTAGGTTATGGACCAGTTTCTCATAGTTGTAACGACTTCTATTCATTATAAGCGATATTCACTCTGAAGATTCTTCATTGATAATTGAGCGCCCTTGAAGCAAAGTAATACATACTATATTATGCAAAAAGCCAGAAACAGAGCAGCGCGCCATGCGTAATCTGGAAACAAAAGGCATTAATAGAACAGTATACTTGTATGTTGGAGAGAACCAACTGCCAGAATTTCGTTACTAGAGCTTTGTTTCGTGAACAATTCTCTGACTGCAAATATCAGGTTCAGGAATGATAATTTGATTGCCTTGGAGCTGAAATGCATTTTCCTCCAAGATCAAAATCTAAGGTCCTGCACTGGGCGTGGTTTCTTCATTGATCTGCTTTTGGGTCATTAATTTGTCGTCTTGATGAGCCATATCATAGGTTGCATGAAGACCAAAGAAAACATAATAGATAAGCATCACGAGTGTGCAGATTCCAAATCTTTCAAAAGCCTCAGGACCCAATGATCCCATGAGAAAGACGTTGGTTGCAATCGACAAACTCGGCAGCCATGGCACGAGCGGTACGCCCCAAACATTCGGCTTTCTTTGCATTGGCAGAAGCAATGAAATCCCCAACGTCCCTAGAAACCATATGGGAACGGTCACGACGTATCCTACCCAACCATTTGGGTAAAGCCCCCAGTATGCAGAAGTTGCCATGGAGGAAGCAATGATGGTTATCAGTAGAATGAAAAGCTTCAACTGGTGTGACCGTGGAGTGACCCCTCTAGCATAGTATCTCCTGACCAGAAGCGCCACGGCCATCATCATAAAGACGAACAGCGTGCTGACCGACAACAAGCTCGCCAGAACATCCAAGCTAGAGAAGAAAGCAACTGAACCACTTGCTACGGTAATCAACAGTGTAGCATTAATCGGAGTTCCAGTCTTTGGATGAACAAGAGCAAACCAAGGAGGAATCATGTGAGCTCGAGCAATGTGCGTTATATACCGACCTTGCCCGAGCGCCCCAACCAGAAGAACAGTAGTCATCCCCTTCAGAGCACCAAGAGCCACCAAATACTTGGCCCATTTCATTCCAACACTCTCAAAGGCAACAGAGTAGGCTGCATCTGGGTTGATATCAGTATACTTCTGCATCATACTCAGCGACAGAGCCATCAGACAGTATATCACAGTGATAACCGACATTGATCCCAACAATCCCAAAGGTATGTCTTTTGATGGATTTTTAGTTTCCTCAGCCATTGTAGCAATGTTATCAAAACCTCCATATGCAAAGTACACAATTGCAGCAGCTTGGAACACTCCTTTAACCCCAAATGGCACAAAAGGAGTCAAATTTGACTTATCAGCATGTACGAAACCAGCAATTATAACAAACAGAATCACCACTGTATTAACTGCGGAAGCAATCCAATTCAGGTATGAAGTTTTCCTCGTGCTGATCATCGCTATCGTTGCAGCGATCGTCAAGACCCCAACAGCAATTGGGTCAAGAAGATTGAACCCATCTTTCAGATTTGTGTGGATACGCAACGAATTGTCGGGTCTGTCCAGCAGCGAGGTTAAGTAAGAAGTCCAAGCTCGGGCGACAGCGGCGGTACCGACAATGCTCTCGAGGAGAATGTTGCCAGCAGTGATGAAAGCAGCAAAGTCCCCCAATTCAATCCTCAGGTAAGCAAAAGAGCCCCCTGCAACTGGGATTTCAACGGCGAACTCTGTATAGCAAAAAACAGAGAGCATTGCAGAAACACCGGAAGCTACATAGGACAGAACAATGGCTGGTCCAGCATGTTTATTGGCTTCTTGGCCTGTAAGAACGAAGATCCCTGCGCCAATTACAGCCCCAAATCCAAACCAGGTGAGATCCCACCAAGTTAAGCAGCGTTTCATTTCATTCTCACTTCGTTTTCTTAGCTCCCCGATTTCATTTTCGTCAAATGATCTGCTTTGAAGACGGTCCATGAATCGAAACCATGTCTGTGACAGAGCAGTCCGGTAATTGCTCAAACTCTGGAAGGATTCTTCCGGCAAGAAATCTTGTTTGCTCCATCTCCACCAATAGCTTCTCTGCTGCTGAACAATATGGTCACCCATTCTGCTTTCTATGGAAATGGGCATATGACAATGTGGTCTATATAGAGTTTAGATCCATTAGCACTGTGGGCACTGGCTAATGGTAAGGAGGTGGGGTTTCGAAGATGCCGATGGTGGGCTTGGATTGATGTTGCTTGTCTCGTAGCTCCAACCCGAAAATGACCGTCTTACAGAAATATCCAAATGCTCCCATTGACGTTAGGATCGAAGACTTCCAAGTCAACTACTTCGGCTGTGCGTGGTTGTTGCTTGCTCTGTTTTCTTATTTTGTGTCCGCTTTTATCTCTTACGTATAGCGGTTAGCAAATATGTCTACTAGGTTTCCATACTCTTGTAAGGAATAATTCGTTCTCCTCTCCAATCAATGAGATCTCACGACGCGCTGACACAACACTCCGTGCGATGTAGGATCTCACAATCTACTTCCATTAAGTGCCCAGCATCTCTGCTAACACACCGCTTGGTGCCTGGCTGATGTGGATCTCACGACAGTACCACACCACATGGTGCAATGTGGGATCTCACGATGCTGACACACCGCTCAGTGCAATGTGGCATCTTACAATCTACCTCTTGGGGGCCCAACTTACTAGCTCACATACCCCTCACAAAGTAAAGTATAATGAAACCATATTTAAACTTAAATAAAATTAAAGCATTAATGCAATCTTCTTAAGAAACAAGCTAGATTGATCAACATATTCATAGGGATACATTGGGTCTTTTTTTCACATGAGAAAGCAACATAGTAGAAAGAAAGAGTGATGAAGGAGGGTTTGGCGACGGCGACGGCGACGGCGGCTCTCATATGAGGGCCAGCTGACGGACATTGATGGGGTAGGAATCGGAGGGTGGACCTCTGAAAGCTCGACCAGCAAGAATGGCGGAGGCTGCTTCTGTTGGGTGAAATGCATCCCAAAACACGTACTCATTCCTGTAAAGGCATGGAAATTGCAGCGGCAAACATGTTATTTGCCCTCTGTTTAGCCCCACTCCACAGCACGCCGTGTCCACAACTCGAAACCCTGCATTGCATTTTAATGTACTTAATAACTTCCCCCTGCTAAGCTAACCATTAATGGCGATCATCTCTCACCGTAGGTATCAGGGTTGTTCAAGATATCGCCAAAAATGGCATACACATTGACGTAGACGAAGGTGGATTCAGGGTGCTGGCTGTTCAGCTGGGTTACTAGCGATCTTAGCCCCTCGTTGAAAGCCCCCAGCATCTTGTTCACATTATCAACGCACCGCCCTGGAGTGGCTGCGCCAGAAGCCCTCTGGTTCGGGATGCAGCCCAACGGCCCCACTCCTGCCACCACGAACTTTCTCAACCCTACGCTCTGAAGCGCCTGTGCAAGACACTATATATGTTAGAAATCACCGATCTCTACAATGCATGATATTGTCTACTTTCATTATAACCTCTCGTAGTTTTACTTTAGGCTTACCCAAAAGGTCTCGTAACAATGGAGATAGATTCATTACTTATAAACTAATAACATTTCTTGGGACCCCTTCTAATAATCATCTCCTCGAACAAAGTACACAATAGAGCCTTCCCTAAGACCTATGGAGTCCTCGAACAGCCTCCCCCTAATCGAGGTTTGACTCCTTGAACAAAGTACACTATAGAGCCTCCCTTGAGGTCTATGGAACCCTCGAACAGTCTCTCCTTAATTGAGGCTTGAATCCTCAAACACACCATCATTGCATGACTCTGATACCATGTTAGGAATCAGAGATACCCACAATGGTTTGATATTGTCCACTTTGAGTGTGAGCTTTCGTAGCTTTATTTTGAACTTACCAAAAAGACCTCGTAACAATAGACATGTTTTCCTTACTTATAAACTTATAATCATTCTCTAAATTAGCCAACGTGAAATTCCCTCCCAACCATCCTCAATAATAGAACAATAGATTGGAAGTGGGTTAATCAAAAAAGGAAGAAAAAAACTCACTAGAAGCTGACGAGAATATCGGTTTAGGAGAAGGTTAGCGAATTGATTAGGGGTATATCTGAAGCGCGAAGTGTAGAGCTCCGGCAACAGGTAGTTGTTTATGTAATCGTTGCTTCCAAACACCAAAAAGGCTAAGGATTTTGATAAGTAACGACTCAGATTCCAACTCCCCATTGATCTCCTTAACTCATTCAAAGTGCTTTCAAAATTCACCACTTGCTGGCTCAGGCTGTACCTCTGGCCCTGTATCCAAAACAGATTCGAACCATTAAAAACATGTTTTTGAATGATTTTGAACTTACACAACAATCCATGAATGTATACGTAGTGTCTGCCGGTTTCATCGAGGATTCCGGCAGCAGCCGAAGCATAGTTGACGCCGTGAAGTATTCCGACTCCAGTGGTGTTCGGATTCGCAAATTCCGGAGCATTCGGAATTCCAAACATGTCCACTGCAAGACAATCACACGTTAAAACTCATAAAAGAAAAAACAATCGAACAGGCTCTAAACAAGTCTATGAAGAAAGATTAACGGTACCAAACATATCTATAACGGTTCGTCCATTAGAAAACCTCCCGGTAGGACCCGAAAGAAAATCAATCCCATAAGGATAATAATTGGCTCTAGCAACTGATCGGAGAAAATTATTGTTGCCAACATCCACAAGAGAGTCGCCGAACACGAAAATCGCCGGAACCCCATTTGTCGTTGAAACCGTCTCGTCCGAGCATCGGAGGAACACGAGGAGGAGGAGGAGGAGCAGGGCGGCGGAGGCGGCCAAACGAGGTGGCTGGATGATCATGGCGAAACAGGGGATGAGTAGAGGTAATGTGTAATGGTTGGGGAATGTGGGATTATATATATAATAAGCGTAAAAGAGGAGTGATTTTGGTGGGATTAAGGGAGGAATTTATGGCTTTATTACAGTGATCAGGGTAAAGATTATAACCGAAAAGTTTGTTAGTTTTCTTGATGCCCTTTTTCACCCTTTTGCCTCATGCTTCTTGCTTCATGTATATCGTTTTGGAGCCAGGTGTTCTTCATGCATATATCTCTGCCTATAATCCGTCATCCAAAACGAGGCTTAAACGTTATAGTCAAGGCTGTCACGACGTGATCGACAATTTTATAACCCGTTATAGGCGAAACCGTCATGATGTGATTGACAATTTTATTATCTTTAGATGTACGAAAGAAAATCTTTTGTTTATAACGTTTGGTCGTGTTATTATATAATTTGTTCATGCATTATTAATATTAATATCTTGTACACAAGACCAACACGACAACGATACAAGGATATGTGTCAAGAACACGAAGTATTACTTTTCCTATCAATAATGACTATGACAATCGTTTATAGTTCACAATAGAGATAACACTGTTTATCGACACTTTATAGATTATTTACAAAAATTATAATATTATTTTGAAAAATTCATTACCATCCAATTATTTTTAAATTTTTTTAAAAAGTATTTTTGAAATTGTTAAAAAAAAAAATTGAATTATAAGGTTATTTTTTTAGATTTTTTATTTTGAAAGTTACTTTTAAAAAGTAGTTTTGGAAATATTTTTGGAAAAAGTGGTTGCAACTTTTTGCATTTATGTCCGTTTTTGGGTTACTTTTGCAAACTACCAATTTTGAATGAGCTTTGATTTATTATCACTTCAGCTGCTCCTGAGGTAAGGGATTACGTGTTACATTAAAATCCTTCTCAAGAACTACCTAACCTTAATCCATGCTTGAACACCCAATTATGAATAAATTACAAATAATCATATTAATTAATCAAACCCAACTATATGCATTAGTTTTTAAATTTTTATTTATAGACTTTTTGTATAATCTATATTATGAAATTCAGAATCATAGGGATTCAGTCATATTTTATAGTATATATAGAGTATTGACTTTGGGGCCGAGAAGTTTGATTCTTGACCCAAATAAATTAAACAAGGTTAACTCTAATACGCTCTCATAATCCACCCATAGTATCTGATATCATTTGTAACCACTCAAACTCACCACTAACAAATGTTATCTTCTTTAGATTTATAAAACGAGTCTGAAGCATATCAGTTATATAATTGTAACGGCTCAAACCCACCGCTAACAGATATTGTCCTCTTTGGATTTTCCATTTAAGACAGATATACTAATTTATACTAATTTAAGTATATGTTTTTGTAATTGAATTCCCCAATCACAATGGCTAATTTATTTATTCAAAAGTCATATTCGCTGCTCCACTTCCAGTGATTCAATAAATAAGTGTAAGTTTGGTTCAATCTCTGCCAATAATTCATCTTCAGATTCCCAATCTCCAATTCCCCACTAACCCCACAATGGCAACACCTCATCATCATCATCATCTAGTGTTCATCTGTAACCCGGCAATCGGAAATTTAGTTCCGGCCGTGGAATTCGCCGTCCGATTAGTCCGTCACGACCCTCGTTTTTTGGCCACCTTCCTCGCCCTCGACATCCCTGGAAGACCCCTCGTCAATGCCTACACCCAATCACGTTTCTCTGCTTCCCCTTCTCAAAACATCCAATTCATTGCTATCCCATCTGTCCAACCCCCATCTCCCGCTCTCTTCCACTCCCACATCGGCTATTTGTCATTGTATTTCGATTCTTATAAGCCCCACGTCAAGCAAGCCATTATTGACCTCCAGAATCCCCGAAATTCCGGCCGTGTCGTTGGGGTTTTTGTCGATATGTTCACGACGGCGTTCATCGATGTTGCTAATGATCTCCAAATTCCTAGCTACCTCTTCTTTGCGTCCCCGGCTACTTTTCTTAGCCTCATGGTTCAACTACCTAAGATGGATCGTGACCGAGTTGAATCCTCGATCCGTGACTCGGATGCTGAGTTTGTTTTGCCGAGTTTTGCTCACCCGCTGACTTCCAGTTTGTTGCCGTCCACTGTTTTGAAGACTCGGGATGGTCTTTTGTGGTACACCCATCACGGGCGTAGGTATGGCGAGACGAATGGGGTTGTTATTAATTCGTTTACAGAGCTTGAGCCTCATGCGCTGAGCTC